CCCCCTTCCCCCCCCCCCCAAGTCACGGAGCTGGGCTATGTCCTTTTCCCCTCTCCCCATCAGGGCCAGGCCATGCTCCTTTCCCCTTCCTCTCCCATGGGGCTGAGCCATGACCCCTCACTGCAGGGAAAGCTGTGCCCCCTTCCCCTGCGGGGTTGGGTGGGGTCCAAACTGCCCCCTGCCTCCCTCTGCACAGCCAGATGATGCCTGCTGCATGTGCCCTAGGTGCTGGGTTAGGACCACCAGCTGGATCCGGGCCCCAGATGAACTGGGCACTGCCCATCCGGCCCACTGGAGAAAAAGGTTGAGCACCACTGATCTAGCACAAAGGGGTTATGGTCCATGACTAGGTCTCTTGAGTATTGCATAATGCTAATTTTTATAAAGAGAGGCATGGATTTCTTAAGGTGACATCTTTTGTTGGCCCAGCCATGTAGTTGAGACAGTTAGACAAGCTTCCAAATGCAAGACTTTCTTCCTTAGGTCTGGCTCCCTGCGGCATGTTCCTGGCTTCTTGTGATCAGACCTGAGGAAGAATGTCTTGCATTTAAAAGCTCGCCTGACTTTATCCCAGCTACATAGTTGGTCCAATAAAGTATAATCACCCTAAGAAACCCTTGCCTTTCACACAATTTCTTGACCATCGTGACTACAGCATCACTCATATGCTACCAAGTGTTATAAATTAGCTTCTATATTTTACAGCTCTTTCCAAGGCAACCAATGAAGTGATTGCTGTTAAAAAGCAGTCTGAAGGCCTTAAGAGGGAATATGATCGTCTTATGAAAGACCATGAACGGCTGCAGGTAGGTGGTTGTGCTTCACTGAATGAGCAGAATGTTCTGAAATTGTACCAGCAAAATGATACACGTCTCTGCTCCAAGAGCAGGAGAGCTATATCAAATGCTTTTGGTGCTGCATAATGTTTACAGTGGTCAGTATTCTATAATGTTGTAAAGCATCCTTTATTATTTAGGTAATTATTCAGGTAATATATTTTATTAGACCAATCATGTAGTTAGGAAAGACAAGCTTTTAAGCACAGAGTGCTTTTCCTTGAGTTGCCTCCCTGATATTGGATATTACAAAAAAAAATCCTTGCTTCTTGCATTTTCTCTGGACCACAACTGCAATGATACTCCAGCCCCCCACTACATATAAATCATCTTGCAGAATTCCATCCTGCAGGAATCTGATGGCAAGTCTGACTAGTAATTTTTTTCCTGAGAAGAGAAAAATGCAGATCAGTTTGCTATTGCTTGGAGATGACTCAAGATTTATATCTGCCTTTCGTTCAGAGGCTGAGACTGAAGCTTTGAGTAAAGCGATAGAAATGTCACTACTGTGTGCATGAGAAGGTAGCTTGTGCTTTGACTTTTTTGTATATAACAATGTTGCAGCGTATGGACTATAATCCTCAAGAAACAAGGAAAAAACCTAGATTACAATCGCTTTTCAAACTGGGTGAAGTGAATAACGATAACAAACACCATAACTGGCAAAAGCGCCAAATTTAAAAAAAATTAATTATTGGGTTTCTGTGTTCGATTATTCATAAAATCATAGGCAGGGTTGCTAGTGCTGCCTATTACTGTGGTCAGGCACTCATTTGGAAGACCCTGTTTTCAGTTTGTCAAACTTTAACTGTGTGTGGACTGAAATGTTCCCTGTCAGGTATCTGCCTCAGGCTAAAATTTTTGGGGAGTTTCCTCCAAAACATTTCAGCTGTTTCTAAGAATTCTTAGCAAAGGAAGGACCGTTTTTCTGCTCCTGTGAAATATCTGTGCCAGTTTGGCCAAATTATAGCCATTTAGAAATTCTGTGCACACTCAGAGAGGTCTTAGATTAGCAGTTAAAATCTCCAAGTATTTTGCCTTGCATATACTGCAGCCCCTCAGGCCCTGATGCCAACCAGACTGCACACAATCTGCATGAAGTGAGGGGATCTGTGCCATCTCTTTCAGCTCCTCGTTTTTGGTATTCTTCATCAACACAGCAACTGGGCATGTTTGAGTCCAGGACAATGGAGTGATGTTGTAACTGCAGTACCATGTTACTTTAGGCAGGAGCCTAGCACTGTATATAGATGTACTGTCAATTCTTCTCTCCTTTGCACTCCCAGCTGGCATCTTGTTTACAGAGTGGGCAAGAGCCAGATGTGGGTGAAGAGTACTGGAGTGAGCTGAAGCTTCTAGAAAAATGGACTGAGTGTAGGCAGGGGAAAAAAGGGGGAAATGGGCACTGGGACAGCAATTAGTTGGGCAAGGAGAATGGGTCCGGAGTCCAGGAGTTTGGGGGAGAGGCTAGGAGCTTGTGGTGGGAAGAAAGTGGAAATCATAGGAGAGACTAGGGCCAATGGGCAAAGAGTCAGGTCAGGGAAAACAGAAATTGGCTGGACAAAGAGACTAAAATAAGATGTCTGAGGAACCTAGATTCCCAAGCTTCACCATTCCTCTGCCATCACAGATACTTGCTAGAAGCCACTGCCTAAATGTCTTGTCCTCTTTAATGCTGGTCCATAGAAAGGAGACAAAGCTGTGGCTGTTCATGTGCATTTGTTAGCTTAAGTGGCAGAGGTCTGTGGTAGATGTAAAAGTTCTCTCCATGGTGGTGAACCATAAGGGTGTTAATAAGAGGCCACACGATGGGAATTTTTCCTTTTAAAATCCTAGGAAATTGTGCATATGCAGCTGTATTCTAAAAATATTAAGGGCACGTCTACACATCACCCTATGGTGATGTAGTGACATGCTGTATCACCGTATGACATGCTATGCAACATAGCAATCACATGGGTTTACACATGATCGCCAGCTATGTCGCTATACGGCACACTCCCCCAGTATAACATACTGCTACAGTGACGTAGCAGCAAAATTTAACTATGCGCTGTGCACATGGCACAATAACCACCCATACTGCATCGTGCTTTTGGAAGTACTAAAGCATGGCACCATATGAATGTCATCATACAGCGACATGTAGACGTGCCCTAAGAACATCATCCTTGCCTCTTGCCTGGACATAGTCTGAGAATAAATCAGTGTTGTGCAGTGAAAGAGACTATTTTGATACAGGAAGGTGCATTGTGATTGCAGGAAGAGAATGCATAGTCTCATAGTTGCAGTTTGGATGCTGCTGGGAAGAATCCAGTTCTAAGATCACATGTTCATTTTCTGATTGCCCAGCTTGAGTTGATGGGGTCTGTCTGGTAAGAAACATTGAGCACTGAAGACAGTTAGAGCTGCTTTTTGAACATCTATATTATTACCAAGCAGGATTACAGAAATTTCAAATTGGTCACCCAAAATTAAAGGACATTTTTTTCATCTCACCCAGGATCTGTCTCCTCTCAAGTTCTTCTGCTCTTTCCTGTGAAGGTCACGTACAAGTCTCCTTTGTGTTTTGCTTTAACAAAAGGAGAGCAAGTTAGTGTGATTGAGTGGGTGCAGTATTTTTATTTTATTTTAGAATCTGCACAGCAGCTTTCTCATTCAGAGCGCCTCACCGCCCCAGGGTCTGGGAAGCTACTGTGGAACTTAGCTCTGGCATGTAGGAACCAACTGCATTTTCTCTCTGCTGTGGTACCATTTTATGGTTCTGCTGCTTCTGGCAGTTGTTTGGCCCTTGGCCATACAGATCAAACATCATAAAGTTGAAGCATAAAACTAAACTATAAGAATATTAACAGCTTCATGCAGTATAAACAGGAAGGACTTTGAGGATGAATCAGTTGCATAGTGAAAGGGGGCTGTTGGCTGTAGGATCCCCGCTCGGCCTGCTGTGGAAGGTCTGTGGTGAATAAAGCAGAAAGAAAAAGGATGCTCTCACAGTTAAGGCAGGATATTCACAACAGTCTGTGTTCTTGCCAAGTGCAAAGACTGTTAATTTTAATTCTCTTTCTGATGTGTTTGTCTTTCTTTTCAGGACCTTTTAGATGAAGATGAGGAGGAGGATAAGAAAGACCAGTAGACGTGGTTCAGAGAAGACCATGGATACAGTTGCCTCCATGGGAAAGTCATACTCTTGTCTTTAGCCTCCTCACATGTATAAATAGAAAACAAGATTAGATTTTCTTAAAATCCAAAGCACTGCAGTTCGCTATTCATGTTCTACTTACAGCTCTGGTTGCCAAATATATTCTGTGCCGTAGTGAAAATATTAAATGATCTAGAAGATATGCCAGGAAGTCTGTCTTTGCTCTTGTGAGGTAAAATTAAGCATTTTAAATGGGAAAATTCCTTCTGGAGCAACAACCTGGTGGTTCTCCATCCTTTTGCCTTGCAACATGGTAAAAGATCATGGACAATAACACCAATAGCATTGCGTGGGTTTACAAGTCACAACAAAGTGTGCAAATCTGACAACTTCAGCTTCTTTTGCCAGCAACTGTTAGCCTCGTACAGTTCAACTTTAAAAAGTTAAACATTCTATCTGCTGTTATATTTGTGTCAAGTATTTGACAATCAGCAAAAGCGTAAAATCTAGATTTCTAAATCTATCTCAAACTAGCTTGCGTGCGTGGTTTTGGATGGGTATTTTTTGTTTTGAGGGGGTGGGGCTCTTTTGTTTTATGGGTTTTACATTTTTCTTTTTAAATCAGCCACTAAGAGTAACATGTTTTCAGTAATGCACTCTGCATGCATTATGATTACTCCTTTGAGACTACTTTGAATTTCTTTTTAGTCATAACTGAAAATATTGTTATGTATCCTCTGGTTTATTTATACAAGTACTGAGGTCTCTTTACTCTGTACCACCTAACTTCTTGCTTTGTAAATTATAACTTTATTTGAAAAATATTCTCTTCTGTTTTTTCATGGCTAAAGTACCTCAAACAAATGTACACTGTTTTAAATGGGTTTTTTGCATTCTAAAAACACTTGCATTAGCTGGTTGAAATTTTCTACTATGAAGTTGAATATTGTTATATTAAAGGAATTGTTAAAGCATTTATGTTTGTGTGTGTTTGTACAACACTTACCTGGTAAATTATTTCATTAGAGCATTCAGAATCAGCATTTATTTACCAGAGGTTCAAAACGTTTACATAATTTAAGATTTTATTTTTTCTGGAAAAGATGGCATTAGTATTGTTCATAACACTCTTTGTTTCTCCCTCTCTCTTTGAACCAACCTCACTCCATCCCTAGTTCTCATATTTTGACTTTCATTTCAAACAATAGCCTGGAAAAGCACAGGCTCAGGGGCAATCTGATGGCCACCTATAAGTTTATCAGGAGTGTTCACCAGAACGCCCCCAGGGATGACGAGGTCAAACGGTTATAAACTCTAGCAAGACCGTTTCAGGCTGGATGTGAGGAAAGAGGCTGAGGGACCTGAACCTGTTCAGCCTCCACAAGAGAAGGCTGAGGGGGGATCTAGTGGCAGTTTACAAACTAGTCAGAAGGGACCAGCAGGCATTGGGGGAGTCCCTGTTCACCCGAACACTACCAGGAGTGACTAGAAATAACAGTCAGAAGCTGGCAGAGGGTAGATTCAGGCTAGACATCAGGAGGCGCTACTTCACTGTCAGGGCAGCTAGGATCTGGAACCAACTTCCAAGAGTAGTGGTGCTGGCTCCTACCCTGGGGGCCTTTAAGAGGAGGTTAGACGAACACCTTGCTGGGGTCGTTTGACCCCAGTACTCTTTCCTGCCATGGCAGGGGGTTGAACTTGATGATCTGCTCAGGTCCCTTCCGACCCTACCAACTATGAAACTGAAGAATTTTTCCACTGTCCAAGCCCCCAATGTCTGGAATAGCCTGCCACTGGAAGTGGTTCACGCACCTACATTGAACGCCTTCAAGAGAAATTTGGATGCTTATCTTGCTGGGATCCTATGACCCCAGCTGACTTCCTGCCCCTTGGGCAGGGGACTGGACTTGATGATCTTCCAAGGTCCCTTCCAGCCCTAATGTATATGAAATCTATGAAAGAATACATGCTATATAAGGAAGCAGAAAGGCATCAAGTAAAAATCATTCAGTCTAGCAAGGAAGCTGGCAGCATATACTGTACTTTCTTCTTTTACCTTTCCTTCCCTCCCCTCATTGACACACACTGCAAGAAAGTTTCTATTAAGTGCATTTGTGTTTTTTTTTAATCCTTGTAAGTTGAGAAAATACAATGGCAGGAATCCTGCAAACTTATCTGAAGGTAATGGTGCTCTCTGCAGCAACAAGAGTCCATCCCTGCACATCAAGTTTCAGGTTTAAAAAATAAAGGCCAGGTCCAGAAAGGTATTTAGTCATCTAATTCCTATTTAATTCCAATGGTGATTAGGCATCCAAATACTGTTGAAATACCTTTGCCCTATCTGTTGGTCTAGGCTGGGGTGCCCAACTTCCAGTATTCAGGCCAGGCCCAGCATCATTCCCTCGGGGCTCCCCATGCATCTAGAAATTTGGTAGTAGGGGAACAGTGGCAGCTTTAATTGCCACTTATCTGCTGCCAAATTCCTGGAGCCCTACAGACCAGATATCTACTGCACAGGGCCGTGCTTAGGTATGCAAGTCCAAGCAGACGCAGTGTGGGGTCCAATCTGAATGTGCAGGGCTGGGTGAAGGTGGTGCAGGGCCAATCAAGGCACAAGGGCCAGTCAAGGTGATGCAGGCCAGATCTGGCTGTGTAGGAGCCAGCCAGGATGGCAGGGGGCCAATCTGGGTGTACAGGGGCAGGTTGAGGAAGCACCGGGCCAATTCTGGCATGCAGAGGCCGGCTGAGGCAGCATGAGGCTGATCTGGTTGTGTAGGGGCCAGCTGGAAGTGGCGCAGGGCCCAATCCAGCAGTGCTGAGACCAAACAGCACAGGGCCTCATCCTGGCACATAGGACCTAATCTGGCCCACAGACTGGTTCAGCACCATTTATCCACCCCTTAGGACCAAAACTTTGAGCATCGGTGGTCTAGGCAATAGATAAAGCTTGCACATACCTCTTAATATTTAGTTTTTCTATCCTTGTATTGAAATGAACCTTTGGAGCACAAAATAAAGAACTGAAACTTAGCTGGAATCAGTATTTCCATGCAAGTAGTCCAAACAATTTTAGTTCAACAAAAATATTTAAGGAACTGAAACCGGGTGCTTAGTTCAAACTTCATTAATAACGAAGGTTGTCTTTTGGCTCTCTTAGTGATCGGTGAGGATCCAGAAGCACTTTACAGGAATAAACCATTTTTGCTGTGAAGTACAACTGTAGTTTAATAGTACACAGTAACATTTTCACTGCAGCTTAGGTTAGAAATGTAAGATAATACTGCCTGACTTCAGTACTTTGGTTTCACAAGCACGCAAGAGCCTCAAACAGAATTTGGAACAGTTGTGCTAGGTGTTGTATAAACAGACACAAACCTACTGTGAAGAGTTCACCATCGTGGAAGATAAGTTGCAAGAGTTGAGGGGGACAATCATATACACAATTTTATGGACATAGAATGCATGTTAACCGTTACTCTTTAATTTTTTTGTGGCTGCATACATCAGTTTTCCCTAACTTACCTTAGCAATTAAAACCTGGTTGATGTAGTTCTTGCAGAAGTAAATCTGTGAAAAGGGTTTGCAGAAAAGCAAAGCAGTAAGTTTGCTATATGCATCAGAGCTAGGATTTTTCTCTAATTACAGATTTTAAACAGCCCCTAATGATCAGACTACTTTTTCTTCCACCTTGTTTTTCTTATGAGATGTCCTATTAATGTGGGTTTTTTTTAATCAAACTGGATTGCAGTGAGATCTGTTAGGCTCCAGTGCTCTTGCATTATTTGTGATGCTTCACTTTGCTCACAAAGATTTGGTAGCATGTCACATCTTATTGATGTTTTGTCACCCCTTCAACTTTAAAAAGTTCCAAAAACTCTAGGCTTCTGTTTTCCCACGTAGTTTGTCAATGTAAAGATAGCAACTTTCCTGCTTTTCAACAAAATAATTTTCAGTCTGATATTTTCTGTTTCCAAATAAACTTGTTCAGTTATCAATATTGAAGTCCCAGCAGCAGAACTGGAAATGCCAGTGTTTTACCAAATGTAGTAAAGTAAAATGTTTTTGAAAGTCACTGCATGAAATTGCTTCATGTAAGTGTTTTCCCCAAGTGACAGAAGAAATCCTGATGAAGATACCCAAGCTGTCTCAAAACAGCTTGCACCATTAGTTTTCCAAAAGTCTAGAGCAATGACCGTAACAAACTCCTAGGTGTAAGAATAGTTACTCTAAATACAAGTCCCAACTTAGAAACAGGCAAAGAGAAACTCCAATGGTGCTAACTATAAATTGAATTCAAGCAGTTCATTTGAAGCTGTTGCTGATAATTATATTTCTGTATTAATAAAGGGAGCAGGTCATATTCCAGAATTTTTATTTGTATAAATTATATATGTATGTTGCTTTGAGAACAGTTGAGAGACATCGTTTCTTGGGGTGGGTTGCTGCTTGCTTCTCCCTTTCAAACCTTTCTTTGGTCTTGATTAAAAAAAGAGTGGATGCTAATGTGTTGTTCTGAATAGAGATGGACCCAAGGACATGCTCAGATGATTTGCTGAACTGAGGTCTTTGTAGCGAAATGTAAAAGGACAATGCCCTTTATCCTATCTACCCATTTTTGCTACCTGTTCTGTCTACAGAGGTTTCTCCAGTCACTTTAAAATCTAAGCGTCATTTGAAAACACTACATTGAATTAACAGTAACAATGACTATTATAAAAGTACTAACTGCATATTCTAGTTAAACAGTTATCCTGCTTTTAGTTGAAGTCCACTGCACTCTCCCTGAAGGTAGGGCACAGACTGGGGACTTGCTACATTTCATCCACTCCTAACAACTGTTCCTGTACCTGCATTTATCCCATCACAGACTAAAGCTAATCCTCCATAATTTACCCCTGTTTCAAGGAGGGGTAAACTACCAGAGTGCACTAAATTCCTGTCTGTTTTTAACTTACTGTAATTATTAATTGTCCATACCTGATTAGAAATAACCACAATATGTTGATTGTTTGCTCCAAGTCTTCAAATGTAGGTGACTATTTCAAGTTCTCTGATATTCCCTATAAATGCTAAACATCTAAAGGTAAACTCCCCTTGGGAGAGGCTGTCTTTTTGCTTTGCTTTTGTATAGGATCTAGCACAAGGGAATGTTAATTGGGGTTATAGGAGCTATAATTTGTTATACAAATTATTTTTCAGTTTTTAGATTAAAAGGATGCATATAGGTTGAAAAACTCAGGCTGTGTACAGACATACAGTTTCTACCACTACAGATGCACAGTTTCTACCAGGAGAATCCTTGGCTTTCCCTAGGCATTCAGGCTTTTTCTCCTGGAGCAAAAATGGCTGCTTTAGGAGAAAAATAATCCTGGGATGATAGGGGTTAAATCGCTCCTGGGAATTTCTCCTGGGATATTAAATGTTTATACTTTGTCCCAGTTTAACTCCTTCTCGGGGCCGGGGGAGTACAGCCAGGGGAAAGGCTCCCTAGCCTTCCTGAGACTGGAGCATGCCAGGCTTGAGAAGGCATAGGGAACAGCTGCTCCCACCCCACTCAAAAATGGGGTGGAAAGAGCAGGAACAGCCACCAATTGCTTCCCCCTGCTTCTCACATTAGAGTTCACCATATAAGCAGCTCTGCTGCACCGTTCCCTCCGTTTGGCTGCCAGGCACCCAGAAGCAAGCGAGGGAGCAGCACAGCCTCCTGCCTCCTCACACTGGAGTTCTTGGTGCGAGAAGCAGGCAGGGGCTTAGCCCCACTGCTCCCTCTGCTTGGCAGAGAGCCACACTCTCCCCTGCTGGCCCCTTGTCAGCCCCTTCCACTCAGCAATTTCGAAGCTTCCATCAGTTGTTTAAAGAAGGCCTTTTCCACCCCCTCCTCCTCCATTATGCTCCTTTAATAAATCCATAGTGTGTCCACACCTTGAATACTGTGACCAGTCTTGGTCCCCACACCACAAAACGGATATTTAAG